TTCAAACCTCAGAATCTAATGGCCAGTGGTCTCTCTTTACACTTTCCATCTCTCATTTCCTTCTCCTTTTCCCCAACTTTTCTTTGCCCCAACAGCTTCCCCAGCTGTGCTCTAGCTCTCTGTCTCGGCTGTTTTCTTCCACTCTCTGTTTTTATATATGGTGCCCTGGTCCCTTGCCACATAATACAATTTGTCTGTAAAACACGAGTAGATTAAGAGGTGCTGCTCTTTTCACTTTGTCTTGAGAATAATATAAAACACTATTCTTTGTTTGACTTGTCTTTTTGTAATACCCATGTTATGGTGGCTTCTGCTTGAAGCCATATGTGTACCTGTTTGTTATCTTCAAGGTGTATTTTGTAAATCTGTAAAAACCTTAATAAAAATGTATTATTAAAAAATGTTACGATGTAACAAAAAAACAAAATGTTCCAAAACATATTCACTGTGTCTGGTATCTAGGTGATCCAAAAATTTCACAGTATAATTAATTAATTCTGATCATGAGGGATTGAGGAATAAAGCACCTCAATATCTAAACTGATTGGAAGAGTGTCTTTAGGCAGCACCATGTCATCCAAGATCAAGATGAAGGAGGGAGTATCTTTCATAAAAGGGCAATATTTGCATGTGTACTTTTATTATTTTATCAACATACTTAATTTATAAGCTAAAAACCAACTGCTCACTAATACAAGTCAGCAGGATATCTCTGTTTATTTGTTATTGTTCTGCTCTGCCCCTGCGAGGGCGTATTTTGAGCTTGTTATATTCTTAAAAACAAAACTTTCTTAATAAAAATATTGAAACAGAAAAAACAACTGCTCAAAATACCAGGCCTCCCAGGTGGAACTTTTTATGACTCTTTTTATGAACATTTGACAAAGCATAGAGGGATAACCATATGATAAACCCAGAAAAAGTCCTGTAAAATTCCTCTAGCACCTGAAGCTTGGAAAATATTTTCATGAACCCAATTGAGTTAATTGAATTTACAGTAATGCGATTTGAGATGAATGCCCCAGCCAGCTTTCAGAGGCTTATGAATGACCTACTGGAAGGGCTGGAAACATTCACACTCACCCACCTGGATGACATTGCTATGTTTAGTCCTACTTAGGAAGAACATCTGGTGCATTTCTCATAGGTCCTGAACAAACTGGTAGTGGCTAATCTGACAGTCAAGCCCAGTAAATGTCAGATAGGCATGAAAGACGTCTAGCACTTGGCACACCAGGTAAAAGGATTTACCCTGAGACTTGAGACAGGGTAAAGCAAAGCCAATATTGCCTGGACTACTCTTCAAATAAAAAAAACACGTTATGTCATACTTAGGAACATCTAGCTACTATATGAAATTTTTTTGCATCTACAGTACCTTGGCTAAGCCTTTGTCAGACTTAACAAAAAATAAATTGCCTATGATGGTGCTTTGACACCAGACTGCAAAACGGTATTTCAAGCCTTGAAGGAGATGGTGGCCTGTGCTCCTGTGCTACAGGCACCAGATTTCACCTGTTGATTTTGATTGCAAGCTGACGCCTCCACGTATGGTTTAGGTAGAGTCCTAAACCAGGTGGAGCAGTCAGGAGAGGAACATCCCATCCACTACCTGAGCAGGAAGCTACTTCCCAAAGAGGTAGCATATGCCACCATGGATAAACAGTGTCTTGCAATCATGCAACTGCAATAACTCAACCACATAGCACAAGAAAGGCAGTTCCAATGGCAATGCGGATTGGTTATCTTGCAAACTAAGCCATCAGTAGTAAGAGGCATTGGGAAGGAACTTGCAACTCCTCCCATGCCACCTCATAGAGGGGGGTGTGATGACAATGAGGTCTGGGAAAGGGTTGTCATAATCAAAATTCATATTCAGCCATCAAATTGTTATATATTAAACAATCCGCTCAGAGACAAAGCAGGCTTCTATCAACAAAGCAGCCAGTGACCTCCAAGTGCATAGGAATTCATTTTCAAGATCTAAAACAATCTTTTTAAATGGACCATACATCTTACTTAAACCCTGTCAGTGGATAAATCTTTTAAAGTCCATACCAGACCTGAAGGGCCCAGTATGGATTGGGGGGGACCCCACACTGTTTTTTCACCCGAATTTTTAATTGCCAGGTTTGTTAGGTTTGTTTACATTCAGCTTTCAGCGGGGAGCCCCGTTGACAGCTGACAACTCATTGGTTGTTAAGTACCTGGTGGGCGGCCACACGTTCTTTAACAACCATGTTGTTTACTGGTTGTCAAGGACACTAGCGGCCGCCCCTTTCCTTAACTATTTGCCCTCCCGAAGATTTACTCCCCTTCCTGACCAGGCTATTTTTTGAGTTACGGTGCTGCATTACTTTAACTGACAATTGCACGGTCATGCAACGCTGCACCCAAAATAAAAGTTACGTCCTTTTTTCCTCACGAATTGAACTTTATTTTGGTGGTATTTGATCGCCTGTGCGTTTTTTTTTTTTGTTTTTGGGTTTTTTTGGCGCTATTAAAAAAAAAAAAAAAAAAAGACTGACAATTTTGAGAAAATAAATATATTTTTTGCTATTAAAATCGTTCGTCGGGCAATTCGTAGTGTTGACGCCTTCCGTACAAGTGGAAGTGATGCAGTGTGCGTGTGACCTTGTAGCCACTCCCTTCCGGCTAGAACGAGCGATATACACAACAATTAACAGCAATGAGTTTAATATAGTTTATTACATTACCTATATACACAGTGATACATAAAAATATAATATGCATAATTCTGGTTTCATTATCTCATTAGGCCAATCTACTTTTAACATTTGGATTTTTCGTTCATCTTCTGTTTCCGCTCATGCGTAATAGCGCTTGATAGATTTTTTTCATACGACCGTCATACCACCGCATAGAAAATCGGTCGTTTCGTATGCGATACGAAAAAAATTTTCACTGTTGTTCAACCGGACTTTTTCGTTCACAATATTATCGGTTAAAACATCCTGCTCATCAACTAAGAGAAAATCATTTGATCAGTGGTTCTGCAAAATGTTTCGGATGATTTTCTTGTCGTGTGTACGAGGCATTAGCCTTTAAAGCTCCCTTCAGCTCATGTTTGGAAATGCTATACACAGGTCTTAATGGCAGTGCTGATTGCCACTTTAACCACTTGCCCTCCAGAGGATTTACCCCCCTTCTAACTAGGCCATTTGTTACGATACGGTGCTGCATTATTTTAACTGACAACTCCATGGTCATGCAACGCTGCACCCGAAAGAAATTTATGTCCTTTTTTTTTCTCTCAAATAGAGCTTTCTTTTGGTGGTATCTGATCGCCTCTGCATTATTTATTTTTTGCGCTATAAACAAAGACTAAAAAAAAAAAAAAAATTCTCATTTCTGTTATAAAAAATATCCAATAAACTCAAATTTCGTCATAAATTTAGGCCAAAATGTATTTTGCTATATGTCTTTGGTAAAAAAAATCCCAATAAGTGTATATTAAACACACTGCTAGCAGGCTCTTATCAAGCGTCATGAAACTTTTTTTTTTTTTTTTTTTAATTCTTTATTTTGAAGAAATGGCTTAACAAGTCATGCAAAAAGAACAATAACAATACGGAACATGGTACAATCCAGTCTATCTCCAGCGTACTGAGATCATGCAAATTGCATACATAAAGGAATTTATATAATTTTAAGCAAATGGATATGCACACGCCAACCACATCTACAAACTAAAGAGTCACCATTCCTTCTTTACATTTTGTCTGTGCACAAAATACAGTAACCGAACATTCAACCCCAGTAGGGTAAAAACAGAAAAAGAAAGAGAGGCAGAGGGGAAGGGAAGATTAAAAAAAAAAAAAAAAAAAGAGAGTAGAGCACACCCCTCCACCTAACCTCCCAGCCCCCACACAGGCAAGCGTCCCAGGCCTCTGGGGAACGCGCAGAGCTAGACTGACGCCAACTGTTTGATCTTATAGAAGAAATACGGGGTCCATGTTTTCCTATATTTATCCCCCTGTTCCTTGAGCAGTATAGTCATGCTCCCCATATCTTGAATCTTATGAATGCGAGCCAGCCAATGTGTCTTTGTAGGGGGCAGCGGATTCTTCCACAATGCTGGAATACAGGCTTTTGCTGCATTGAGGAGGTGTTTCAAAAGAGAATGCTTGTATCTTTTGTTTGACATGGGAGTGTCAAGGCCACTGGATTTCCTCCAAGAGATACTCTCATCAGTGTGTACACTGTTTGTTCCACCATAGACCAGAAATCCCTCAGTTTAGGACACGCCCTAAAAACATGGAGTAAGGAGCCATCCAAAGCCTGGCAACGCCAGCAGAGGTTCAGGATCTGGGGAAACATGCGATGAAGTACCTCCGGCGTCTTGTACCACCTGATAAGGAGCTTATAACCCCCCTCTTAGTATCTACTAGCTAGGGAAGCCCTGTGGGCAAAATATATAATCCTGTCCTTCTGTTTCTGAGAAAAGGCAACATTTAGATCTCTCTCCCACTGTCGTAAGAATGGTAACTCAGTCTGGGCTTCAGATGTTATCAGAGAAGAGTAGAAATGAGAAAGGGAATGCTTTAAGGGTTCACCTGACATACACAGATTCTCAAAGGGAGATAGCTCCCATATAGTGGTTTGTTGCCTGGTGAAAGAACGTAGGAACGCACCCAATTGTGCTCGTCTCAGGAAATCAAGCTGTGCCGAAAAAGCAACTGTCAACTTCTGAGAAGACATGAGGTGAACGTTTCTGCAGAAATGAATCAACCGGAAACAGCCGTCACGATAAAGTGTCTGAAAATGGGGGTCCAAGAGACGGCATGAAGCCTGCTGTGCCTATAATAGGCATCAAGGGACTCAGACCCGAGGAGAAGGTGGTAACTAGAGATGAGCGAAGTATTCAAAAATTCGATTCGGCTGATTCGGCGAATTCGCGGAATAAATTAGATTCGAGTCGAATATATTCGCTGCGAATTTAACTTATAAAAAGGGTGTTTCTAGGCTTCAGAGAGCCTTTATATTAGTGCAGAACACTGTACCTTTAATTTAAATGCCCTTGGAGTCTGCTGGGGAAGAGAAATAATACTGTCAGTCAGTATGACATGCAGATGAGTGCCGTCGATCTTAGAATCACCGCACACTTCACTCATTTGGGCAGTCACGGGGCCAAAACCAGAGCGTGGAGCCACAGTGTGGCGGTGGAGGCAGCAGCAATGGGAGGCCATACAGCACCCTATGACAAAATGGAACCCACCAGCAGTGTGAGGAGACCTGAAAGTGGCACATGGCAGAGTGTGGCGATGGAGACAGCAGCAATGGGAGGCCGTACAGGGACCCATGAGACACTCTGGACCTGGCAGCAGCATGAGGAGGCGGTACAGGGGCCCATGACAGATTACGGGCCTGGCAGCAGCATGAGGAGTCGGTACGGGGGCCCATGGCAGATTACGGGCCTGGCAGCAGCAATGGGAGGCCCGTAATCTGCCAGCACCCTATGACAAAATGGAACCCACCAGCAGTGTGAGGAGACCTGAAAGTGGCACATGACAGAGTGTGGCGATGGAGACAGCAGCAATGGGAGGCCGTACAGGGACCCGTGACACACTCTGGACCTGGCAGCAGCATGAGGATGCGGTACAGGGGCCCATGACAGATTACGGGCCTGGCAGCAGCATGAGGAGTCGGTACGGGGGCCCATGGCAGATTACGGGCCTGGCAGCAGCAATGGGAGGCCCGTAATCTGCCAGCACCCTATGACAAAATGGAACCCACCAGCAGTGTGAGGAGACCTGAAAGTGGCACATGGCAGAGTGTGGCGATGGAGACAGCAGCAATGGGAGGCCGTACAGGGACCCGTGACACACTCTGGACCTGGCAGCAGCATGAGGAGGCGGTACAGGGGCCCATGACAGATTACGGGCCTGGCAGCAGCATGAGGAGTCGGTACGGGGGCCCATGGCAGATTACGGGCCTGGCAGCAGCAATGGGAGGCCCGTAATCTGCCAGCACCCTATGACAAAATGGAACCCACCAGCAGTGTGAGGAGACCTGAAAGTGGCACATGGCAGAGTGTGGCGATGGAGACAGCAGCAATGGGAGGCCGTACAGGGACCCATGACACACTCTGGACCTGGCAGCAGCATGAGGAGGCGGTACGGGGGCCCATGGCAGATTACGGGCCTGGCAGCAGCAATGGGAGGCCCGTAATCTGCCAGCACCCTATGACAAAATGGAACCCACCAGCAGTGTGGGGAGACCTGAAAGTGGCACATGGCAGAGTGTGGCGATGGAGACAGCAGCAATGGGAGGCCGTACAGGGACCCATGAGACACTCTGGACCTGGCAGCAGCAAGAGGAGGCGGTACAGGGGCCCATGGCAGAGTGGCGAAGCGTAAACAGCTTAAATTGAAGGCCATACAGAGGCCTATGTTAAAAATAATAACATGTTTGGGGCATGATTCATGGCGGATTTAGTCAGTTGTGTCAGGAACTGGTGGTTTGAAATCCAGACTAATCCACGCCTGATTCATTTTCACAAACGTGAGTCTCTCCACACTTTGGGTGGACAGTCGTGTCCTCCGCGGAGTTACAATACCTCCTGCCGCACTAAACACGCGCTCCGATGCCACGCTACTGGCCGGGCATGACAGCCTTTCAAGGGCAAATTCAGCTAGTTGGGGCCAAAGGTCAAGTTTCGTTGCCCAGTAGTCAAGGGGATTGTCTACCTCGGTTGGCAGGGTGCTGTCCAAGTAGGCCCAAGCCTGTTGTTTGAGGTCCTGCTCCAGGTCCCACCTGATGCTGCTGCTGCTGCGGCTGGTTAGTAGTAGTTTCCTCACTGCGCTGGTGAAGAAAGCTACTCATCATCGACTGCAGACTGAGGCAGCCGCTGCTGGTGGAGCTGCCACTGCTCCTACCACCCCACCCCTCCCCTGCTGCCATGGCAGCGGAACGCGAGCGCACAGGGCCCACAGTGTCTGAGGATGGACGTTGGCGCAGAAAGGCAGAGACCAACTGACTACATAGGTGGTTTTTATAGTACGTTTTTTTGGCCTCCCTCTCAGCAGGTGTGAAAAAGGCCACCATTTTTGAACGGTAGCGAGGGTCCAACAAGGTGGACAGCCAAAAGTCATCCCTCTGTCTGATGGTTATTATTCGGCTGTCGCTACGCAAGCAACCGAGCATGCTATGGGCCATTTGTGCCAAGGAATGCGAGGGACTCCCTGCCTCCATCTCCACAGCATACTGCCACGGTGCGTCTGGGTCCTCTGTCTCCTCCTCCTCTACCAGATGCTCCTGCTCCTCCACTCCTGTCCGCTGAGTGGAAAAACCACCCATTTCACTCAATAATTCCTGAGCACCAATGTCCTCCTCTACCTCCTCCTCTTCTTCCTGTCCTGCCCCCACAGGGGTCATGTGGCGTTGAGATCTGTGCGCCACGTCTACCGCACCCTGACCAGCCATTGTTAACAGCATTTGTTCCAGGACGTGCAACAGAGGAATGACGTCGTTCATCCCATAGTCCTGCCGACTCACGAATAGCGTGGCCTCCTCAAAGGGCCTGAGCAAGCGGCAGGTGTCACGCATGAGCTGCCAATGGCTGACATCTAAGTTACACAGGGGAGTACCTTTATCCGCTTGTAACATCAGGAAATCGTGATGGCCTTTCGCTGTTCGTAAAGGCGGTCTAACATATGTAGGGTTGAATTCCACCTTGTTGCAACGTCACAGCATGAGGAGTCGGTACGGGGGCCCATGACAGATTACGGGCCTGGCAGCAGCAATGGGAGGCCCGTAATCTGCCAGCACCCTATGACAAAATGGAACCCACCAGCAGTGTGAGGAGACCTGAAAGTGGCACATGGCAGAGTGTGGCGATGGAGACAGCAGCAATGGGAGGCCGTACAGGGACCCATGACACACTCTGGACCTGGCAGCAGCATGAGGAGGCGGTACAGGGGCCCATGACAGATTACGGGCCTGGCAGCAGCATGAGGAGTCGGTACGGGGGCCCATGGCAGATTACGGGCCTGGCAGATGACGACGAGGCTGCCAAGTGCGATCAGCCTCATCATCATCAATTAGGGTCTCCGCCTCACTACTAGCCCCCTCGGCTGCGTGTGGGTCAGGAGACAGACCTGTCTCTAGACCGGCTACCGAGCCACTCTCCTCGCCAGTACTTCTGCGCCTGGCTGCTGAAGAGGCGGATGTCTCCCCCCGTTCCTGACCGCCCTCTGTTAGCTCTTCCTCACTGTACAGTGGGGCTGAGCCCACAGCATGCGATACTTCGCTTGGTGAGGGAACACCAAAGGACAGGGGCAGGTAGAGGACACGTGATTTCAGTGGGCTTGCTCCCAGGCCATGCCAACTAACGGTTGTGTCTGACGTACCCACCGACCGTTGGCTGTAGGTGTCAGAGGTGACCTGGGAAGAGGAAGACGACCGAGCCAACCAATCGATGACGGCAGGGTTGTCGGTGGAGACACGACCGCTGGATGACACCGGGGCAGCACTGGCCTCTGGCTGCGACTAGTGCTGCCTCGACCCCTTCCTCTGCTGCCACGTCTGCTCGCTCCTGAAACATTGCCTCCCTCCTCTGCGTGTTGTCTGACATACTCTTTAATTCAACGATTCTGTGTCCCCTGAGTAACAATTATGTGTCCCTGAGTAACAATTCTGTTTCCCTCAGTAACGATTCTGTGTCCTGAGTAACAATTCTGTGTCCCTGAGTAACAATTCTGTGTCCCTGAGTAACAATTCTGTGTCCCTGAGTAACAATTCTGTGTCCCTCAGTAACAATTCTGTGTCCCTGAGTAACAATTCTGTGTCCCTGAGTAACAATTCTGTGTCTGTCCCTGAGTAACAATTCTGTGTCCCTGAGTAACAAAACAATTCTGTGTCCCCCAGTAACAATTCTGTGTCCTCAGTAACAATTCTGTGTCCCTGAGTAACAATTATGTGTCTGTCCCTGAGTAACAATTCTGTGTCCCTCAGTAACAATTCTGTGTCCCTCAGTAACAATTCTGTGTCTGTGTAACAATTCTGTGTCCCTGAGTAACAATTCTGTGTCCCTCATTAACAATTCTGTGTCCCTCAGTAACAATTCTGTGTCCCTCAGTAACAATTCTGTGTCTGTCCCTGAGTAACAATTCTGTGTCCCTGAGTAACAATTCTGTGTCCCTCAGTAACAATTCTGTGTCCCTCAGTAACAATTCTGTGTCTGTCCCTGAGTAACAATTCTGTGTCCCTCAGTAACAATTCTGTGTCTGTCCCTGAGTAACAATTCTGTGTCCCTGAGTAACAATTCTGTGTCCCTCAGTAACAATTCTGTGTGTCCCTCAGTAACAATTCTGTGTCTGTCCCTCAGTAACAATTCTGTGTCCCTGAGTAACAATTCTGTGTCCCTCAGTAACAATTCTGTGTCTGTCCCTGAGTAACAATTCTGTGTCCCTGAGTAACAATTCTGTGTCCCTGAGTAACAATTCTGTGTCCCTCAGTAACAATTCTGTGTCTTGTCCCTGAGTAACAATTCTGTGTCCCTGAGTAACAATTCTGTGTCCCTGAGTAACAATTCTGTGTCCCTCAGTAACAATTCTGTGTCCCTCAGTAACAATTCTGTGTCTGTCCCTCAGTAACAATTCTGTGTCTGTCCCTGAGTAACAATTCTGTGTCCCTCAGTAACAATTCTGTGTCCCTCAGTAACAATTCTGTGTCTGTCCCTGAGTAACAATTCTGTGTCCCTGAGTAACGATTCTGTGTCCCTGAGTAACGATTCTGTGTCCCTAAGTAACGATTCTGTGGCCCTAAAGTCTCTCTGGCCCTAACTCTGTCCCTAATACAGACAGGTCTGTCTCTCTTGAATGACCGGAGGCTAATGGAGAATTGTAAGATGGCCGCAATTTATAGCTCCACCATTACACAGTGCTGGCTGGCTGGCTGCTGATTGGCTAATGCGATCACATGTCATGAATGAATGCATTATGGGTCAGCGCGCCTTGTCTGCGCGCCTTCCCAGAGATCCCCGCTCCGTCGCCACACATGTCGCCGCCATTTTTGGGAAAATTAGATTCGTGCATCCGAAGTTGGCTAATTTTCGGATTCGGCGCGAATCGAATTTTTCCCAATATTCGAAACGAATTCCACTTCGCCATGTTCGATTCGCTCATCTCTAGTGGTAACTTTAAATACCTGTGTCAGGGATCGCGGCATCCTGTCGGCCGGCGCATGCGCGCTGGCGACGGCTCACGCCGGTACACAGGCGCAGTGGAAGCCTCGGGCGGGCCAATGACAGCCCGGGGGCGCGTCCTGGGCGGCCAATGACAGTGCAGGGCGCACTATTTAAAGATGCCCTGCACTGTCAGTAATTGCCGCAAAGTCTATCTGTGATTCCGAGTTCCTGCACCCGTCTAGTGACCCTGTTTGACCCTGACTACGCTGCCTGCCCCTGTGATTGACCCGGATTGCCCTGACTATGCTGCCTGCTCCTGTGATTGACCCAGATTGCCCTAACTACTCTGCCTGCTCCTGTGATTGACCCGGATTGCCCTGACCATTCTACGGACTGACTTACCCTGCTGACCCTGCGTGTGACCCGACTCTTTGCCCGCCGATTCTGTACCTCGCTTACCCCCACGGGACCACGATCCGTTACTACCCTGCTGGGACCACCATTCGCTTCACATCTGGCTCTCCGGTACCTGCATACGTCCCCGGAGGTCTCCTCAGCCACTGGTGGGCCTGCTCAGAGGTCGTGACCTGGTCCGGGACTGTTTCAAGTCCATCCCCCACCATCAGGGGCCCTGGTGAAAGCACAGCCCGGGCTTAGACCCCCACGCTCTGGGTAGGTCTGTCAGTTGGCAGCCTGAGGCACCACCTGGCGATCATAACAGTACCTTGCGGCCATGACAGAG